CCTGTGTGTAGATGTCAGTGGTGTTGGAGGATTTGTGCAAGCACTGGAGGGCCTTGCTCATCATGGGGTCCTGGGAGAGAGTGGAGAGACATAAAACATTGCTTGCGAGACCCAAGCCCTGAGCCTGGCAGCCTGGCAAGAACCTAGTGTCCCTAAAATCCCACCCGTAGTCCATGCACCAGGTCGTGCTGTGTCCACGTCCCACCTTCTCTGAGCCCATCACTACCTGTGTCCATGCCTGAGCTAAGCCCCCCCGCCCTCCAGCCACACATGATCCATGGATTACTGCCGCACAAACAGCAGCTGCTCGCGTGAATGGGAGCGAGAGGAGGGCACACACCCTCTCAGGGAGAACTGCAGAGCCCCTCCGTCTCTAGTAGACGCCTCCCAACGCTCCTTTGTGCTTAGGGCTGGAGGAGCGGGTTTGGTTCCAGGCACCTCCTGCCCCACTCCTGCAATCCCTATGTTCATCCTACCCTATTGCCTCCCCTGCACTTCACCCCTTCTGAGCCTCATACCTGCAGGGCGTTGTTCAGCAGTTTCCCCACACTCTGGAAGCAGCCGTTCTCCATCTGGTGCTGCTGCAGCCACTTGAGGGCATCCTCAATGTGCTGCTGGTCAATGAAGATGTAGGGTCTGGCTTGGCCAAAACACTTGACAACAAAGGCCGTCAGCCTGAGCAGGGAAGGATCCTGTTAAAGGCCTGCTCTGCTGGGGGGCTGTAGGTCAGGACGGGGATGCAGAGGTCCCATGGCTGAGGTTGAGAATGGGGACACAGGCAGAGCTGTGTGGGCAGGGGGGGCACTACTGGAACGTGGGGAATCAGGGTGCAGGCTTGAGATACATGGGCAGAGGTGTCCAGAGAGTAGGACTAGGAAAGCGATGGAGGGGGGAGGACTAGGGCTGTGCGAGCTTCAGATCCGGAGAAGCTTCGGACGCTTCGGGGTCCGAAGCAGCATGTCCAGGTCAAAGTGCTGGCCTTGTTAGGCTTCCCGAAGTGCTTCGGAGCCGCCTTGGGGCCGCCTCAGAGATCCGGCCAGAGTATAATGGGAATCAATGAAATATCTATAACTTTGCTTTTTTTTGTCCCATTTGGATGACATTTTCAGGGATGGTAGACTCTGCAGAGGGCATGAATCTTGCCAAGTTTCAAGACGATCAGAGCAGGTGTTTGGGGGGAACTGCACTGCAAATTCTTGAAAGGAAAACTCACGTCACGTCTAGGCATTACAACACGGGGGTCAAATGTGGAGGGATGGTAGCTCTTACTGAGGCCACAAAGCCTCTCCTCAATGGCTGGCAGGCTTCGTGGCTGCAGCAGGGGCCACCATCCCTGCAGCTGTCACCCCGCTGCGCCTTAACGCACGCAGTATCACCCTTGGCACAAGTTTTGCTTTTCTGCAGCTTGAGGGGCAATTCCTCCCAAACCCCTGCACCGATCTTCTTGAAACTTTGCAGGCTTTATGGCCTGAGCAGGGGCCACCACCCCTGCAGTTTTGATCCCCCTGTGGTGTAACACGTAGACGTGACAGGAGTTTTGCTTTCAAGAATTTAGGGTACAGTTCCCCAAACCCCTGTACTGATCTTGAAACTTGGCAGGGTTCACGCTCTCAGCAGAGGCTACCATCCCTGCACATTTCATACAAATCAGACAAAAACCAACAAAGTTATAGATATTTAATTGATTCCCCATTATACCCTATGGCCAGATCTCCGAGGTGGTTTCATAGCTTCGGAGCTGCTTCAGCCGGATTGAGGTAAAAACCCGGTCTGGAGCTCCAGATCAGATCACTGCCATCTGAAGCGACCGGATCTGAAGCTGGATCAGATCAGATTGCTGCTGACTTGCACAGGCCTAGTGAGGACTGAAACCATATATCCTCTGCCTGAGCAACAGGCCAAATCCAAATGCCCACCAGCCTAGGTGTCACAGAATTAAAGAATAAAAGGGTTGGAAGGTAGCTCAGGAGGGTATCTAGCTCAAACCCCTGCTCAAGGGAGGATCATCCCTGACTAAACCATCCTAGATAACCATCCTGGCTAACCTTCTCAAAAACTTCCAGGGATGGATATTCCACCACCTCTCTAAGTATTCTGTTCCAGGGCTTAACCATCCTCAGAGAGTTCTTCCTAATCTCCAAATTAAATTTCCCTTTTTGCAATTGAAGACCATTATTCCCTATTCTGTCTCCTATGGCCGCTGAGAATAGTCTATCATCGTTCTCTTTATTACTACCCTTCCAGTGTTTGAAGATTGTTACCAAATCCTGCCTTAGACTTCTCTTCTCCAGACAAAAGAATCCTAGTTCTTCCAACTGCTCCTCATATGTCATGGTTCTTAGGCCTCTGATCATTTTTGTTGCTTTGTGCCGAACTCTCTCTAATTTGGCCACCCTTCCTGAAATACAGTCTTCAAAGCTGGAGAAGAGTCAGCTCCCTTGACTAGCAAATAACACTCCTGTTAATACCACTCAGCTTTTTTTTTTTGCAAGAAGAGAACACTGTTCACTCATATTCAGGTTGTAATCCAGTATAACCCTGGGTCTTTTCCTGCAGTACAGCAGCCTAGCCACTCATTCCCCATCTTATATTGAACATGTGATTTTTCTATCTTAAGTGCAGGACTTTGCACCTGTGCTTGTTGAATTTCATTCAATTAATAGTGGACCATTTGTCCAGTTGATCAAGGTAATTCTGTCCTAATCCTCTCTTCCAAAGTGTCTGCAACTCCACTCTGCTTCCATCTTCCAAGTCATTACTGAAGATATTAGACAGACCCGGACACAGAAGAGACCTCTGGGAAACCCCACTCAATACCTCCTCAGTCAAATATGGAGTCACTGATGAGTACTCTGAGTACAATGATCCACATTAAGGTGGATGCCTTACAGAACTTTCTTGTAGGCTGTATTTCCTTATCGCTAATAAGAATGTAATGGAAGACTCAAGAGCCAAGCTTAAACTGAGGTATCAACTGCTCATCAACTGCTCTCCCCCGTCCATAAGGACCTTCTCTTTTTCATGGAAGGAAATCAGTTTCTCGATTCAAGAAGGGCCCTACAATATCCAAGGTACCAATATTTCTCGGTACGTGTCTGGCAGTATCTCACCAGGTGTTGCCCGTGGCATCGCTCTTCCCAAAAGCGCTATAAGAGCCATCATTGTGCTTGTATGTCAGCTCACGCTGGTACCCTGCATGGAGGGGAGGCAAACAGCACATTCAGCATCCATCCACCACTGCCCAGGGCTAGAATCTACCCTGGTCTGCACCCTGATGGACTGCTGGCCCCTGCCTGGCCCTGGGGCTGAGACTCAGATGGGATCCTGGGTGCAGCTGGCTCATGGGAAGGGAATTAAGCCTAAGCTGGATCCAGGGCCCCAGAAGCAGGTGATGCCTCCAAGCTTGGGAAAGACCATAATCAGGCCTCCCTGGAGAGGCAAGGCCCCACCTCCCCATCTGAGATCCTGGGGTCCACGAGTGATCTTGCCGCCTGGGCCATGCCTTGCGGGAGGAACTGGGAGGACACTCACCACTCTTCAGGAAGCCCTGGGCCTTGTCTCTGATCTCTGGGGTTAGCTGGCCGCTCTTCTCCAAGTACTGCTGGATGTAGATGTTGGGAGCAAACCGAACCATGTTTTGCTCTCCGCAGCCATGTGGCATGGCCAGCAGGCGGT